TCAATGACAGGGAGGGAGGCGGTGAGGCAGGGAGGCGGTGAGGCAGGGAGGCGGTGAGGGAGGGAGGCGGTGAGGGAGGGAGGCGGTGAGGGAGGGAGGCGGTGAGGGAGGGAGGCGGTGAGGGAGGGAGGCGGTGAGGGAGGGAGGCGGTGAGGGAGGGAGGCGGTGAGGGAGGGAGGCGGTGAGGGAGGGAGGCGGTGAGGGAGGGAGGCGGTGAGGGAGGGAGGCGAGGGGAGGAGAGGGGGGGGGCGGGGAGGCGGCGGGAGAGGAGGCGAGGAGGACAGGAGGAGATGTCTCCCGCCACAGAGCGCGGCATGCCTCTCCCGAGGTCTCGCGGTGCGATGCACTGGCGCGAGGCTCCCGAGGGGATGCACTGGCGCTAGGCTCGCCCCCGCCGGGCAGGGAGAGGACGGGCGCTGGCCCTGTGACGCCTCTCTTCTGACGGCCGGCCCCAAGAGCTGCCCCAAGAGCTGCCCCTGCCGGCCTATGCCTCTCCCGCCTCACACCCGCGCCGTGCAGCAACACCGCCCCCTGGTACAGCAGCGCCCTCTCCCTCTCCCTCTCTCTCTTCCTCCCTCTCTCTCTCTCTCCCCCCCCGCCCTCCCCGCGCGGGCGCGGTGCGTGTGGCGCGCGCGCGCGGGTACCAGGGCGGCGCGCCGCGCCTGCCCTCTCGCGCCGCCCATCGGCTGGTGGATCATCACACGAGAGTGCGGCAGCGCGAGCCGCTTCCCGGGCGCGCCGGCGCCGAGGATGAAGGAGCCCATCGAGGCGGCGAGGCCGATGTTGCAGGTGACGACCTCCGACTGGATCAGCTGCATCGTGTCGTACAGCGTCAGCCCCGAGATGACGGAGCCGCCCGGCGAGTTGACGTACAGGTACATTGGCTTGCCCGGCTCCTCCGAGTCGCCAAAGAGCATCACGGCGACGATCTGGTTGACGATCTCGTCGTCAATCTCCTGCCCGAGGAAGATGATGCGCTCGCGGTTCAGCCGGTTGTAGATGTCCACCCAGTCCGCACGCGAAGCGCCAGGCACGCGATACGCCACCTTTGGCACGCCAATCGGCATCCGCGGCGCCGCGCGACGCAGCGCAGCGCGGCCGCCGCAGCCGCTGGAGGCGGAGCGGAGCGGCAGCGGAGAAGGGCTGAAGGCCGCGACGGATAGCAGCAGCGCCTGCATCGAAGCCAGCCGCGAAGAGAGCCAAGAAGGAAAGAGAAATCTCGACTACCAATCGTATGGTGGCGTCATGCCTTCGCTTGTTTCTATTAGCATCGAAGTCTAGCTCAAAAGAGAAAAGTCCCCGGGGCTTCATTGGCTCAATCGTTTCCACCTGTCCTTCCAAAATCCTGCTCGTGCAGGTGTGGACCCTGTCCTCCTCCCCTAGGAATTCGCCACCTTCGCCTTCTCTCCCGCTCCGCCGCCGCCTCCCGGTCCTCGCGGCGGTCCGCCAGTGGGTTGTCGCCCGGCGGCGCGCCGGCGTCGGCAGCCACAATCATGGCCGTGACGCCCTCGCCTGCCATGTCGATTCTCGAAGTCGCCAAAAGTCGCCAAAAGTGGCGGCGCGTCGCAATCACCCGCCCGCCGTCGTCCCGGCGGTCCCGCAGCTCGCGCGCATCTCCCTCTTAACCCACCTCTAACATCACAACATGGAATTCCTATCCCTCGTTTTCTTGTCTGTGTTCTTTCTTTCTTTTTTTTAGCAATTTGTTTGTGTGAGCCTGACTGTTGTTCATCTTTCTACCTACCTACCTCTTTCTTATGAAAGAAAGAAAGAAAACGGACAAGCTAACCCCCCCCCCCCAGGGAGGGATGGGAGGACGGTACGCCGCCACCACACAGGGATTTCTTTCTTTCAGAGAGAGAGATTTTTAAAGACCAAC